TTTAACCTTATTTATTTTAATTTGATCAGAGAGGGACAGAGCGAGAGTGAGAGAGAGAGAAAGCAAGCTGCCAGGTTTGGGACTTGAACCATGGTCGACCATGTGGGAACCCAATGCCCTTTACCATGCCACCTGCTGGCCCCTGTTGTTATTGTTTTAAAATTGGACCAGACAGAGACAGACAGAGAAAGGGAAAGTGAGAAAGCAAGCCGCCAAGACCTGGACTCGAACCACAGTTGACCATGTGGGAATCCAGCGCCTTCACCACCATATCGCCTGCTGGCCCCGCTTTTTATTATTTTTAAGCCATATGAATATTTTTTTAATTGGAAGAAATTAAAGCTTTAAAAATTGGTGAAGTAAATAAATAACAAAGCTAGACTACCCTAGATGTTGTTCAGTGTGCTTGAGCCTCTGTCATTCAATGTAAGAATTCTTCCTTTTGCCTTTTTGTAGACATTTTGGGGAAGGTTGATCTTGAAAGCTTTGAATGATAAAAGACTCTCTAGTCTTTTTATTTGTTTTCTTTAAGAGAGTTTTTTTTGCTATCGGGTGTGTGTGCTCACCAGAGAGACACAAGAGAGAAAGTGAGAAATCACCCCCTGGGGGGATGGCCACACGGCAATCCCTTCTCCATTCTTTTCTCACGATTTTGGGCATGCACGTACACACGCCTGGAATGAATTTCAAACTGCTGTACCTGGGACTCAAATTGCCATCAGCCACGTGGGAGCCCAGCATCTTAACCACTAAATCACCCTTTGGCCTCTCCTGTCATCTTTTAAATTCTACCTGATGTGAGAGATTTTGACAACATAAACTGTCTCAGGCATGCCCTTGATCTCAGGATATTGACATTTTTTTCAGCTTGAACAGTGAATGCAAAGAATTTTTTTGGAGTAGAGTTAGAGCTGAGGATAAGGATTTAAAAATCCAGAATTCTCCAGCTGTAAATAAACAAGGTTAAAGCCACTATTACTTCATCCTCCACAATGTCCTGACAGGGCTCTGCCTCTCACATAATCAATTTAAGACTACAGAATAATCAGGGGACCAGCACTTGGTGTGGTGGTTAAGGCGCTGGGCATTGCCACATGGCTGACCATGGTTCGAGTCCTGGACTTAGTGGCTTGCTTTCTCACTGTCTCTATCTGGTCGAATTAAGATAAGTAAATGAATAAATAAAATGAAGGAAAAAAAGAATTCTTTAAAAAAAAAACCAAAAAACTACAGAATACCAGACCTTGAGCATAAAGGTGTGAGAAGGCTCCGCTGGCCTCAGCAAACCACTGAAGGGTGTAACTTAATCCACACTTTGGTTTATCCCCTGTTCCGGTTACATCATCATACTAGTGTCACTTTGGTCAGACCTGTGAGTAGTCTGGGAAAAGGTCTTTTTTAGTGTCTGTAACTGTTGACTCTGGTTCTGGGGGTAAGAGGGCCCATTTTCTGCTCTGCAGAACTTTGCCCTAACCTGCGTTTGGGCGTATGAGATTGGGCTGAAGGCAAGCAAAGACGAGGACTTTCTAATTCAACTTGGGCATGTTTGCTGTCTTCTGCCTCCTTTTGACCCTGGATCTCCTAACCCAGATAACTGCTTTGTCCATCTGGATTTTATTATTGAGAGGAGCCAGTTGGACTCGGAGACTCAGTGCCATTGTTTGAATCAGCTTGCTCTTGTTCTTGAATTTCCACTTTCTGTGCCACCCGGCACCCTCATGGACGCGTCACATCATTCTTTCCCAGTCCAGGTCCGTTATGAGAATAGGTTCTAAGGGAAAACAGGGTAACCCAGTAGGAGGAGCCCTGGGTTGGGACTCACACACTGAGAGTACAGGCCCCTGCTTTGCTGTAACTGTCACTGAGCGGTCAGGACTTGACTCAGTGCTAAGCCTCGGTAGGTGCTTTGCAGATGTTACCAGTGGGTTGACTCTGACACATTCTCTGCTTTATTTTCTCCAATTGAAAATAGAGATGATTTTTATACCTCATTGCCATAAAGCTATACAAAAAATAAATACAGTCATATAATGAAGCTCGTTTCTTAGAAGACAGGAAATGGACGTATAATGTATTAAATGAAGCTGAATTTTTTTTGGGGGGAGAGAGGTTTTTTTGCTATAGAGCGTGTGCACTCGCCAGCAAGACAGAGAGAGACAGACAGAAAGGGAGAGATCGCCCCCCAGGGGTGTTGGCCATGTCACAATCGCTTCTCCTCCATTCTCCTCTCAGGATCTTGGGCACACACACACACGTGCCCGGTGCGAGTTTAAGCCTCCGGGTTCGGGACTTGAACTGTGGTCTACTACGTGAGAGTCCAGTGACATAGCCATTATGCCAACTGCTGGTCCCTGAAGCTGAATATTTTTCAAAATATGGGTGGAGGGGACAGCAGGTAGCATGGTGGTTGAAGTGCTGGACCCCCACATGGCTGACTATAGTTCAAGTCTCGGACCTGGCAGCTCAAAAATCACAACAAATAGTCACAAACAAAATTCTAACAAATATTTTTTTCTTGGAAAAAAGCCCTATATAAATGTTAAATGTATTTTTAAAAATCACAACAAATAAATAGATAAATAAATAGATATTTTAAAAAATGTGGAGTGTATAAGATGATTGTTCAGGTCAGGCTCTGTAGAAATGGCCCAGCTGGGGCCGGCAGGTGGTGTGGTGGCTAAGGACGCTGGATTCCCATATGGCTGACTGCAGTTCAAGTCCCAGACCTGGTGGCTTGCTTTCTCCCTCTCCCTTTCTTTATCTGCATTTCTGTCTCTCTCTCTCTCTGGTCAAATTAAATAATAATAACTGGAATTAAGATACATAAGTAATTCTTTAAAAAAAAAAGAAAAGAAATGGCCCAGCTCAGTTGTAGCTGGACTATAGGGGAATAAATTTACTTCTGTTTTTAATCTGTTGGGTAATATCTTTTGGATTCCCAATACAGCCAGCTTTGTTCACCACTGACATCTTAGAGCATTTCTGCTCCGTTCTCTGTATGGTAGGCCATTGCTTTTTTACTCATGCACTATAGACAGATAACTTTGTCCTCAGAACAGACTGTGTGAGGAGACAAGTCAGTATCTGAAGGTGAGAAAGCTGCTATAGAGAGGCTGTATGGGGACCAGCAGTTAGCGTAATGGCTATGTCACTGGACTCCCATGTAGTCGACCGTAGTTCAAGTCCCGGACCCAGTGGCTTAAATTCACGCCAGGCACGTGTGCATGCATGCCCAAGATCCCAAGAGGAGAACGAAGGAGAAGGGATTGCAGTGTGGCCAGTCTTCCTGGGGGATTATTTCTCTCTTTCTATCTCTGTCTGTCTCTGTCTTTCTGGCGAGCGCACGCGCCCTATAGCAAAACCTCTTGCAGCTCGTCGAGAGTCACGTAACAAGTAAATGGCAAAGACATCGCTCTTGATGTCCCCCCCCCAATTTCCAGTGTGTAAGTGTGAAAACAGGAAGTACAATGTAGACATGTTTGAAGTCTCTATCATCCTGATCTGTAAGCAGCTAATCAGATATTTATTTAGATTCTTAAATTGTGCTTGGAACAAAGAGGTTTTTGCTTACTATAATAGTATAAATTGAGCATCTTATGTTCAGAGCACTGTGGAAGCAAGAAAGCTAACACAACACCTTTGCCATCAAATAGTTCATCCTCCAGAATTGAATGTCAGCAGGAGACACCTAGTTTTTTTTGTATGAGGAGAGATGGACCAGAGGAGATTGGAATCTGAGAATATTGAAGGTGAGGGTGAGATCCCAGCTATGGGCACAAAACTTGACCATTGTTCAGTAAGAAATGGATGATCATAGGAGTGTGGCTGGGTAAGGAAGCATCAGCCAGCTTTAAGGACTCCTTATGTCTGGGTTGCTGACTTAGAGTCCCAGGTTAAGGGATGACAGTTTCTTTTTTTTTTTTTTTGGAGAGGTTTTCGCTATAGGGTGTGTGCGCTCGCCAGACAGAGAGACAGAGAGACAGAAAGCGAGAAATCACCCCCCGGGGGGATCGCCACGCCGCAATCCCTTCTCCTCCATTCTCCTCTTGGGATCTTGGGCACTCATGCACACGCGCCCAGCGTGAGTTTTAAGCCACCAAGTCCGGGACACGAACCGCGGTCAACTACATGGGAGTCCAGCGACATAACCATTACGCTAACTGCTGGTCCCGGGATGACAGTTTCTAAGGCTGGGAGTCTGTGATTCCTGTAGAATGAAGCATGAGAGTGAAGAGAAGCCTTCAGAGGTCAAGGCATCTGGTGCAGAGGGTTATGGGAAGGAGGCAGGCCAGCATCAGGGTGGTGTGTCTCGGTGGAGCTGGATACATCGCGAGCCCCTCGCAGTTAGCTCAGCAGTTGCTATGGAAAGCTTGTCAGCCAAGCGTGTTGTCCTGAAACGGTAGATGAAATTTGTAGGACCTCCTGTTTTTTTCCCTCTCCTCTCCTCTGGGAGGGCCAGGGGCTGCTGTTGGCACCCTGTGGTACGTGTATATGCATTCACACTCTCACTCCTCCCGGTAGTTCTCAAGCTGTCAGAAGAGATTTTTTTTTTTTTTTCCCATCCTAATAATATGGGATTGCTCACCTGATCCTCCCCGTCCTAATAATATGGGATTGCTCACCTGATCCTGGGTTGCTGTTCTTTGTGCTGTTTTCAAGAAATAAGCGAAATCTTTTGGAATAATAAGACTTAAGCAAATTTTTCTAGCCCCATTTAATTTGATATGACATGTAATTTAGTTGTGGGCCCCGGCTGATCATAGCTGACGAATATTTCTTGGTTTTGTTTTTGCATGTTGAGGTAAAATTGAATTATCGCCGGTACATTTTTCTGAAGCCATATCTGCTGTCCTTTTTGTTTGTTTGTTCAAACGAAACAGTGCATCAAGTATGGAATGGAATTACTGGAGTAAATATTATGAATCATGCTCTCTCTCCAGTCTGATGCTTTTTTTTTTTTGACCTCGAGTTTTGTTTTCTGTCTCTCTCCGTCCGGGTAGGCTTGCAGTGCGGAAAGCTGTTGGAACGAGGGAGCAAAGGTAAAGAATGATGTAATGCACTGGCTGCCCCAAAGCATCTTTTGTTGTGGCATGGTTATTCCAGTCATCTCTTTATGAATCAAATGTGAGGAGCTGCTTTGTGGAAGGAGTCCTTTGCAAGAGCACATCAACCGGGAAAGAGAAAGAGACATTCACTTGGAGAGCTCTTGCTGAAAATGGGTTTAACTCTCCGTTTGCCAGTCGGCACCAGCCTGACCTCATACATTTTTAGTACAATGGAGTGGCTGAGCCTTTGAGCGCACCACCATTACATCATCGTGGCAAATTAAAGGAGGAGGTGGAAAAGAGGACTTATTGTTGTCATGGCCCATGAGATGATTGGAACTCAAATCGTTACTGAGAGGTTGGTGGCTCTGCTGGAGAGCGGGACGGAAAAAGTGCTGCTAATTGATAGCCGGCCATTTGTGGAGTACAATACATCCCACATTTTGGAAGCCATTAATATTAACTGCTCCAAGCTTATGAAGCGAAGGTTGCAACAGGACAAAGTGTTAATTACAGAACTCATCCAGCATTCAGCGAAACACAAGGTAAATACATGCTTTCTTTTTTGCCTTTTGAAAATAAATGGGCATGCTGAATGGGGACTGATTTTCACTGAAGCCTTAGTTTTAAGTGGAGAAAGTAATTTGAGGAAGTTTTAGTTGCTTTTTCAATTTAGGTACCTTGTGGTACTTCAAAATAATTTACTAACCAAATTGTCGCCTTTAAGAATATTTCAGGCCAGCTGATGGCATGATGGTTGAGGCCGTTGGATCCCACATGACCCACTGTGTGGTTTCGAGTCCCAGACCCAGCAGCTTGAAAAACTCTTTGTGTGTACGGGGTGTGTGCATGAGTGCCCAAAATCCTGAAAGGAGGGAGAGATGAACGAGAGATTATGGCATGACCATCCCCCATGGGGAGTGCTTTCTCACTTCCTCTCTCTTTCTGTCTCTCTCTGGCGAGTTTATGTACCTTCTGGCAAATTAAGAAAAAAAGAATATTTCTAAATCGACAGAAGGGTTCACTCACTTCAATTTGGACAGGTGTAATTATTAATATGTTTTCCTATTGTTGGCTTGCTAAAATTTTTTTTTTTCATCAGTTTACACATTTATTTGGTTTTACCCACCAATTCACCAAAAGGAACATCATTCTTTTCAAGTACTTTGAAAAGAAGGTGGAAACTAATTATTAGAGTTGCTATTTTTATGTAGTAACGTTGGTTAAGACTTAAGAGTTTTCTCTTCAAGGCAAGTTGTTTCTGGGATACCATAATACTATCTGTGTGATAGGGATGGCCATTTCTCTTCTTCAGGAATAAAAATGTTTGTGTTTTGATGCTTGTGAACGATCGATTTCTTTGTTTTTATGTAGAACCCATATTTTAAAATGTTTCTTTTGGTCAAGGGTTAAATTTATTTATTTATTTATTTATTTATTTATTGAGAGGTTTTCGCCATAGGACGTGTGCGCTCGCCAGACAGATAGACAGAGACAGAGAGACAGAAAGTGAGAAATCACCCCCTGGGGGGATGGCCACGCTGCAGTCCCTTCTCCTCCATTCTCCTCTTGGGATCTTGGGCACACACGCACACGCGCCCGGCGTGAGTTCTAAGCCACTGCGTCCGGGATGCGAACCGCGGTCGACTACGTAGGAATCCAGCGACATAGCCATTACCCTAACTGCTGGTTCCCAAGGATTAAATTTATTTTTCATTTTATTTGGTTTATAAACTTTGCTCTTTTATATTGTGAAGGATTTAATATCAAGGAGTTTTGAGTATGTCTGTACAGAAATAACATCAGTTTTACTTTTTATAAGTTCATTTTTACAAACATTTAAGCTTATTGTATGCTGACTGCCTCTCATTTTTGTTCAGATGATTAATCGAGATCGGGAAGTGGTTATTTTCTTCACCAGCAGTCAATGTAAAATCCTGCCCAAGCAGTAGTTAGATAGTTACTCTTCTCGCCGCCCTTCCTAACCAGCCTCATGTTTGTATTTCAGGTTGACATTGATTGCAGTCAAAAGGTTGTGGTTTATGACCAGAGCTCCCACGATGTCGCCTCTCTGTCTTCAGACTGTTTTCTCACTGTCCTTCTGGGTAAACTGGAGAAGAGCTTCAGTTCTGTTCACCTGCTTGTCATCAGTTTACACATTTATTTGGTTTTACCCACCAATTCACCAAAAGGAACATCATTCTTTTCAAGTACTTTGAAAAGAAGGTGGAAACTAATTATTAGAGTTGCTATTTTTATGTAGTAACGTTGGTTAAGACTTAAGAGTTTTCTCTTCAAGGCAAGTTGTTTCTGGGATACCATAATACTATCTGTGTGATAGGGATGGCCATTTCTCTTCTTCAGGAATAAAAATGTTTGTGTTTTGATGCTTGTGAACGATCGATTTCTTTGTTTTTATGTAGAACCCATATTTTAAAATGTTTCTTTTGGTCAAGGGTTAAATTTATTTATTTATTTATTTATTTATTTATTGAGAGGTTTTCGCCATAGGACGTGTGCGCTCGCCAGACAGATAGACAGAGACAGAGAGACAGAAAGTGAGAAATCACCCCCTGGGGGGATGGCCACGCTGCAGTCCCTTCTCCTCCATTCTCCTCTTGGGATCTTGGGCACACACGCACACGCGCCCGGCGTGAGTTCTAAGCCACTGCGTCCGGGATGCGAACCGCGGTCGACTACGTAGGAATCCAGCGACATAGCCATTACCCTAACTGCTGGTTCCCAAGGATTAAATTTATTTTTCATTTTATTTGGTTTATAAACTTTGCTCTTTTATATTGTGAAGGATTTAATATCAAGGAGTTTTGAGTATGTCTGTACAGAAATAACATCAGTTTTACTTTTTATAAGTTCATTTTTACAAACATTTAAGCTTATTGTATGCTGACTGCCTCTCATTTTTGTTCAGATGATTAATCGAGATCGGGAAGTGGTTATTTTCTTCACCAGCAGTCAATGTAAAATCCTGCCCAAGCAGTAGTTAGATAGTTACTCTTCTCGCCGCCCTTCCTAACCAGCCTCATGTTTGTATTTCAGGTTGACATTGATTGCAGTCAAAAGGTTGTGGTTTATGACCAGAGCTCCCACGATGTCGCCTCTCTGTCTTCAGACTGTTTTCTCACTGTCCTTCTGGGTAAACTGGAGAAGAGCTTCAGTTCTGTTCACCTGCTTGCAGGTAAGGCTTGCGATAGAATCAAAAAGACTGGGAACCTCGCTGAATCAGAGCAGAAGCGGTGTGTTCCCAAGGAGCTCATCCACCTTGGATGTCTAAAATGATTTATTTACGAAAGTTTTGGTTCAGCGTAACTGTCCTGTTCAACTTGAATAGAATCTTTCTTCTAGTTAGCTTGCATACTTTCATTCTTCCACAGTCGGTGTATTTTTGACGTGGCTCCCACGCTTCTTATGCCATGTTTATTAGCTAGAAGTGCCACCAACTCTGCATGCTCCGTCATCCATACTGCAGAGCCAGACCCTTCTGCCCAGGGATGTCTTTTCTATTCACCTGTGATATAAGAACACCGCATGATCTAAGCGGCAGCTTCGCAGCTCCCTGGGGCAAGAATGGACCAGTGTTGCAGCGCCAGACTCTTCAAATGTTGGCAGTCAGCGTGGACCCCAGAGAGAAGGTCGCCCTTCTAGGTGTTGACAATGAAGCAGGCTGAGAGTGGGTGCAGCACATCTCTCCTAATTAAGGAAACGATTACAAAACGTGTCTTCTTGTGTATTTTTGTTTAGTTTTTCAAGTTGGAAAAAATATCAACGGGTAAACAGTAAGCAACCAGGTGTTTTTGTGCACTACATGGGAAGGACCACGGGCTTTATTTCTGTCCTGAAGGAGGGCAGTGTGGGAGTTCCAGTTCATCGGATCCCAGAGCTTCCCAAACTGTTTTGCAGACGTTCCTGAAGTCCTTTCGCTGGCACTGGCTCGCTGAGCCGGGGATGCAGCTTGCTGATACATGGCCGACCAGTATAGGGCCGCTGTTGGGCAGGGGACCAGCAGGAGTGCTTCAACAGTTTCCTCTGAGAACAGCAGACTATGAACAGACACTGTGATTCTAACACCTGAAGTCTTTTGTGGCAAGAAAGGGTAGAGTAAACTTGACATTACAGACCATGAATCGTCAGAAGTATAAACATACCGGCTCTGAGAGAGTAGGGCTAACGGGTTGGTGTGGTAGCACTTTCTCACGGCGTCTGGGTTTAAATCGGATTTTCACGTCTCCAGTGTCCAGGCTCTCTCAGATCCCTTATAGCCACACCTTTCATTTATGCTGGGACTCTGATCTATTAGTGCCTTCGACGGAAGCCAGCTTGTCCTAGAATGTTGTTTTCAGAATTCTCTAGCTCAGAATTACAATATTAGGTTCTGTCTCTGTTGATAGGCCCTTCACTTATTTATTTATTTTTTACTGGAAGAATAAGCATGTTAAACTTAACATGTGTTAGTAGAGTTCCACGGAACTAAGTGGATGAGTTCAGAAACTCATTTCATGCTTCTTGTAGCCACTGTGAGGGACTTTACCTTGGAATCCTACTAAGGGGATCAGGGCTTTTTTAAAAGGACCAGTAGGTGGCATGGTGGTTGAGGTGCTGGACACTCCCACACAGCAGACCATGGTTCGAGTCCTGGACCTGGTGGCTTGCTTTCTCACTTTCCCTCTGTCTTTCTCTCTCTCTTTCTCTGTGTGTGTCTCTC